CATAAAATTCTGATTGATCAGGAATCACATTTGGCCACAGTCTCAACTGTAACCTGTCTGTTAGTACTATGGCCCCAAGGAAGCCATAGAATGCTCAATTTTAACTTAGAATATCAAAAACTCCACACCCTGGTACTAGTGGTAGGGAGAACCCTATCTCGCCCACTTGGTGGCGCCGCTGAATTGCAGTGCTCAGGCCTCTTGCAGTTTCTTTCTCGATAATTCATTTTGGTATATTAAATTTGCAATATTTCTTTTCTAAACTACACATTGTTTGCATATTTTTCCTTCATTGTCCATATTTTTAACCAAATGTTTGCAAATTTGTTTTTATAAAATAATCATCATGTCCATATTGTATCTTCATACGTCGGATCACACGCACAGGGTAGCTGTGGTTTCGCGTCGTTTTGGGTTCGAAGAGGTCTTGAGCTTTGCATGGCGGAGTGGATATACAGGCCCAGTACACCGTGGTCGCTACCGTGTACACTGACCATGGACGTACTAGAGATACACTGAAAGACGAAGCCCAAGATTGATCTAGTTACTGACCTTCAACAGTGCAACACCAATGAACTCAGCGGAAGGATTATTAATATGAATTCTTTCCTTTAGCAAGTTACTGCCGTAAGCGAAGTATCGGAATGTCGACGACATGTTCACATATATCTTAACGTTCAGTCGCGTGCGGGTATCGTACGAAGATCTACCTGTTTTTCAACTAAAACCGGGACTAAAACATCATCTGTGTCATCGGTAGGGCAAAGGTGATTTTACCCCCTCAACAAAATGGTACCGCCCATTGCTCATAGTAACTAAAGCTTTCAAGATGGCGTCTTTTTATTTACATCGAGAGAAGGAAACGTTTTGAACCTTGAAGATCAGCAGCAGTTAAATGAAATAGAATGCCAGTCAGGAAGAAGAAGTCAGGGAAAAGGAAAAAGTGAGCGTTGTTGTTATATGTTTATGTCGTTAGATCATAACAAACTAGTCACCAAATTGTACTTACAACACAGTAAACACATCATACATACAAACAAATTTAACGCCTACTTTGTTAAACTTCAAAATTGATCATAGTCAAATGTTCATGTATGTTCATGATAACCCATTAAAGGGCGGCAGTCGTCGTGTCGCGTCCTGTTCGATATGGGACTCATAGCGGCGTACACAACGCGTGTAAGGTACATTGTTTGTTTACATTAAATTCGAACACGCGCTGCGCGACAACTACCCTTTAACATCAACAAATTAAATCATAGACAGTATGTAGTAATACTATACTGTCTATGATTAAACATCCTTATGTATTTGTGGATATATAGTTAACCATACTGTATGCATTTTCTATAGTCTGACCTCATGATTCCCTCAACTTCAAACCAGAATTTCGTAACTGAAAAATAAATATAATCATGTCTGTTCAAAGAAGTATTTGCCTTAATTGGCGCATGGAGTTATGTTTAGGGTTTAGATTTATACACCGTCCCTCAACTATATTATACTGTATACCTACGTACCCTGTTTAAAAGAATGACAAATAAAATTTGTAAAAAAAAATACCAGCTTTGAACTTTGAAGAATATGAGTTGCTCTCAGGCTTTCATATTTCGTCAAAGCCTTACCTATATTTTATGGATATCTGCAGAATAAATCAAGACCAAAGAAAGCTTAAAAGATTAACTCCCGTCACTGTGTACCAAAGGTATATTGGAGGCATGAAGTTAGCACACATGCTTCTATTAGAGCAAAAACAGCATTTAAAAATATAACTGCAAGCAATGATAGGGGGGGGGGGTCCAAATAATTAATATGCATAAATATTAATCCAATACTTATCAGGTCTGTGCATTGTCTTATGACATCTATGTACCAAGTTTCATTGTAATGTGATGATTAGTACTTGCCCAAAATTGACTAATCATTATGTAAATTAGGTAATTATTATGCACAGATTTCTACCCAAAACTAATGATTTGCGCATTGTCCCAGAGCACCTATGTACCAAGTTTTATCCAAATCCAATGAGTGGTTCTTTAGATATCTGGGGAACAGTCATGGAACAGCTTAAAATCAGCTAATTATCATGCAAATTAGATAATTAATAAGCATGGATTTTAACCAAAACCTAATCAAATCTGTGCATTAGCCCAGATCATCTATGCATCAAATTTCATCAAAAACAAACATATGGTTCTTTAGATATTACTGGAACAGACCATGGAGGTAAAAAAAGAAGGATCACTGACGCCTATTGTTTCCTTTGTGTATTATGATAGTTGGAAACAATGCGCTGTCCATTTTCCTGTTATCTGCATAATCCCTTAATGGGGATTACGTGATTCAGAGTCTTCCAACAAACTTCGACAATCATCCGAATGAACTGCGCATGCGCAGAACCAGAGAAACAAACATGGCTTCGGGCGTAACACGAGTTGTCTGATTACTGTAAAATACTGGAATTAATTTTCACTTAAAAAGATATTTTGGGTGTTTTGTATGGAATTTATGTTCATTGATTTTTGACAAGTTGAATGTAAAATATAGGAAAAAATGTATATTCACTGGATTTTATTTTCACTGAATCATTCCTTCAGCGAAAATAAATTCCAAGCAAAAATAAAATATTCTACAGTACACAACATTCTTGTAACAAGTGTGACACTTTTAATTGATTTGATTTTGTTAAATCTTTCCAGAAAGTCTGCAAGCCCTGCAAGACCTAAGTCTGGAGTTAAAGATGCAGGCTCAAAGACAGGAAAAAAACGAAAGAAGTCTGCTAAAAAGAAGTTAACAAAAGCAGAGAAGGCTGCTGTAAGTTGTAATCAGCTAGTGTACATGTTCCTTTACACTGGTGTGAATTTAAGTTAAAACCGTCTTGAAAGTGTGGGGTTGGGTGGGTTTAAAAAGCACTGATGTAACTAAAACCCTTATGCCTACAGTTAAACAGATGTGAACACACATCGCCATTTCTTGGCAACTATATGGGTTAACTTTGTAAGTGAATTGGGGCTCTATACTGTATTTGAGCACCACATCGTCACAACTGATATATTGACGTTTAACTTATTTCACAGTATGTGATGAATTTTCAAGCAGTTTAGTTTGTGATATGAACCTGCATATGTTGTAAGAAGTGTCTATACAAATGAAGATGTTTGAAGAGTTCAGCCATTGTCACGTGATATCTTTTGATATTTATTCCCCGTTCGGTCTTGAAACAGAGATTTATGGGTGTACACATCTCTATCTTAGACATATCTTAAACACACATACATCCCATATATTGAGATACACAAGCACGTTCATTTGTTTCATGATTCAATTTAAAATGGCCAAATAGCCATTTTATGCTTAAAATTCATCAAAATTTAGCATTTCTGCCATTCTGGAACTGGATATTGGTCTTGTATGAATGACTTTTGTTCAAACTTGGTACATACATTGGTCATGATGTGACCTAAATGCATGTCATTTTATTATTTCAGATCAGATTGAAAATGACCTAATGATAAATCATTTTGTTAGAATGAACACTATTCAAGAGCCATTATTTCTGACATGCTATGACCGATCATCTTCAGATTTGATCTATCCTCATTAATTTGTTTGATGATCTGATTCAAATTAATTAAGTATTAAAAAAGTATAAAAAAAGGCATTTCTGCTATTTCGTAATCAGATCTTGGTTATGCATGTACAGCTATTGTTCATCTTGGTACATACATTGAATATTTTGTAAATCTGATTCATAACTAAATTATACTTGACGTCATTTGTCAGTTTTGTTTACTATTGTACTAAAGAGGACTCTGTCATGGCCTTATTTTTACTTAAACTCATGAATTCTGTTCTGAATAGTATATTTTGTGTTTATGTAAATGAGCATAATACTACTAACATCATTCTACATTTATTTCCTGATTTTTGGTTTGACACAGAGTAATTCATTGAATTGTAGGCTTGTTCAACCTTGTGACATTTCCAAGAGGTTTACTATAAGTGTGGGTGTTACCACACACCATGGCTCCTCGTGCAATTACCTATACTAATCTTATTTTACAATTTTGTCCTCAGGAAAAGTTACAGAAGTCTGTGAACCGCTTTATCGATGACTTGGACCGACATAATAACTTCATAGCCCGTATGGATAAGTGGATTCTGGAGAATGCAGATAAAGCAATTGAAATGTTCCGTAGTTATAATGATGTAGAGACGGTGACGTACGAAGAATTCAAAGGAGGTCTGTAAATTCTGCATATGTCCATATGTTTGTGATCATTTTGCTCAGTAACCTACATTGCGTCTTGAAAATTCAAGCATAGTATGAAGTGACTAAACTTGCCCAGAAACATACCAAAAAAACCTGTCCCAATTATAGTAACTTGAAGGAAGTTTTGAGGCGACAATGTCCAAGCAATTAAAAATGTTGTAGATGTCAACAACATGAAATAATTGCGATGATACTGCATAGGGGAGATCTATGCGATCACATACTATCTGATTGCATACTTTTCATAAATTTGTAATAACGTTATTATTACACATCTTTGCGAACTAATCACTTGATATAGAAAGTCCAGAGCAGAACAAAATGGTGAAAATTATTAGAACTTTCTTGATATGAACTATTTGTTTACAAGTATTTCCGCCATCTTGAAATAGAGCGCAAGTTTGCTATATTTGGAATGTGCATGTCTTAATAATAAAATGCAGATACCCAATGCAATACTGCAAAATTACTTACTTTCTCAAAAAAAATTGATTATGGAGTATCCTGCACCCTAATGAATATGAGGTTATTACGAGGATACCTCAAAGTATGCATGAAGACAGTACAGCAGTAGTATCGATCAATGCGAAACGGAGGTCGATGCGAAGGTGTACTGTCTATTATACATCTTTTCCTTCCAAGGATACATCATGGGAATGCCAAAATCAAAAAAGTTTAGAACAGAATCAGCGAACTTCTTTGTGTGGAGTTTGGTCAAACCCTGATGGCAACCATGTTTGTTTTTATTATTATAGGGCGCTTACGCGCATAATCATTCCATATTTGGAATTCGCATTTCCTAATATGGTAGGATGAAAATACCCCGTAAAATATTGCAAAATTATGGTATGCTGTAACTTATGGCATTACGGTGACAGATGTATAATAATATATGTTATCCAGCCATATGTTCCTTGTGGTTTGGGCTGCCATCTATTTTTTGCATATACCAGTACATATATATTTATAGGAGCTTCAGAACTGTCACCTGTTTTTTTTTTTGCGTTCTGTAAATCAACAACAGCATATGTTTACTTTACTATACTTTCTTCTAGGTATGTTTGACTTGAATGCACCTTGTAATAATTTAGAACTTCAGATCTTGGCGTTGAGGCTTGATAGACGTAAAACTGGGAATATTGATTATTTAGAACTTAAGAAAGGACTGCGGTTCTATAGGTAATTGTTTACATAATTTTGCATTCCAGTTCATGTAATTGTGCCGCTATTGTGAGTGCTATGTGGTGTATGTATCCCTGCATGGATTGATTTATAGCACAGTGACTGATTTGGTGGCTGGTTTATGCCCCCACAGAATACACTAATATTGAGATTATTTTCCATTGTAACCAATCCTTCTGGCCATGTGTTTATTTCTGTATCTCCATTTATTTTTTATTTTTTTTTTGTATGCATCTTTAGTAATCACCACAATTTGTTTTTGACTCCCATGTGCGAAGCACAAAATGGGAGTCTTTGCAGTTAGTGTGTCTGTATGTGTGTGTGTATGTGTGTATGTGTGTATGTGTGTATGTGTGTATGTGTGTATGTGTGTGTGTGTGTATGTGTGTCCGACTGTTCCACTGCTATCTCAAGAACCATACATCGGTTTTTGATGAAACTTGGTGCATAGATGCTCTGGGCCAATGCGCAGATTTGATTAGGTTTTGGTAAAAATCCATGCTCGTTAATTACCTAATTTGCATGATAATTAGCTAATTTTTAGCTGTTCTATGACTGTT